GGGGTGGTTTGGGGGATTTGGGGTGGATTTGGGGTGGTGACACTGGGATGGCATTGGGTGACACCGAGGCAACACAGGTGACACCGGGGTGACACTGGGTGACACAGGTGTGACAGGTGACACAGGTGACACAGGTGTGACAGGTGACACTCAGGTGACACAGGTGACCCCAGGGTGACACTGGGGTGACACGGGTGACACAGGTGACACCGGGGTGACACAGGTAACACAGGTGTGACAGGTGACACAGGTGACCCCAGGGTGACACAGGTGACACAGGTGACACAGGTGTGACAGGTGACACTCAGGTGACACAGGTGACACAGGTGACACAGGTGACACCGGGGTGACACAGGTGACACTGAGGTGACACAGGTGACACTCAGGTGACACAGGTGACCCCAGGGTGGCACTGGGGTGACACGGGTGACACAGGTGACACTGGGGTGACACAGGTGACACAGGTGTGACAGGTGACACAGGTGACCCCAGGGTGACACTGGGGTGACACAGGTGACACTGGGGTGACACAGGTGACACAGGTGACACAGGTGACACAGGTGACCCCAGGGTGACACAGGTGACACAGGTGACACCGGGGTGGCACTGGGGTGACACAGGTGACACAGGTGACACAGGTGACACTCAGGTGACACAGGTGACACATGTGACACAGGTGACACAGGTGACACTCAGGTGACACAGGTGACCCCAGGGTGGCACTGGGGTGACACAGGTGACACCGGGGTGACACAGGTGACACAGGTGACACAGGTGACACAGGTGACACTCAGGTGACACAGGTGACCCCAGGGTGACACAGGTGACACAGGTGTGACAGGTGACACAGGTGACACAGGTGGCACAGGTGACACCAGGGTGACACCGGGGTGACACAGGTGACACAGGTGACACTCAGGTGACACAGGTGACACAGGTGACACCAGGGTGACACGGGTGACACAGGTGACACAGGTGACACCGAGGTGACACAGGTGACACCGGGGTGACACAGGTGACACAGGTGTGACAGGTGACACTGGGTGACACAGGTGACACAGGTGACACTGGGGTGACACAGGTGACACCGGGGTGACACAGGTGACACAGGTGACAGTGGGGTGACACCGGGGTGACACAGGTGACACAGGTGACAGCGGGGTGACACGGGTCCCCACCTGCAGCTCCCGGGACAGGGTGACCCCGCTCAGGTCCACGGGCTGGGGGCTGTACCCGTGCGAGGGGTCGTAGGTGGCCTGGGGGGGACGTGGGGGGACGGTCAGGGGGACCCCGACATTTTGGGGGCTCCCTGCCCCACCCCACCGACCCCCCCAACCGCCCCAGGTGATTTTGGGGTGCCACACCCCCCCCAGGTGATCTGGGGGGCCCCACACCTCTAAACCCCCTTCCTGCACCTCCCCCCAGGTGTTTTTGGGGTCCCCCTCAGGTGTTTCTGGGGTCCCCCCAGGTGTTTTTGGGGTCCCCCCAGGTGTTTCTGGGGTCCCCCCCAGGTGTTTCTGGGGTCCCCCCAGGTATTTTTGGGGTCCCCCCAGGTGTTTCTGGGGTCCCCCCCAGGTGTTTTTGGGGTCCCCCCCAGCTGTTTTTGGGGTCCCACCCCCTCCCAAGGTATTTTTGAGGTCCCCTCAGGTATTTTTGGGGTCCCCCCAGGTGTTTTTGGGGTCCCCCCCTCTCCCAAGGTGTTTTTGGGGTCTCCCCAGGTGTTTTTGGGGTCCCACCCCCTCCCAAGGTATTTTTGGGGTCCCCTCAGGTGTTTCTGGGGTCCCACCCCCCCTCAGATGTTTTTGGAGTCCCCCCAGGTATTTTTGGGGTCCCCTCAGGTATTTTTGGGGTCCCCCCCAGGTATTTTTGGGTTCCCCCCAGGTGTTTTTGGGGTCTCCCCAGGTGTTTCTGGGGTCTCCCCAGGTATTTTTGGGGTCCCACCCCCCCTCAGATGTTTTGGGGTCCCCTCAGGTATTTTTGGGGTCCCCCCAGGTATTTTTGGGGTCCCCCCGGGTGTTTTTGGGGTCTCACCCAGGTGTTTTTGGGGTCCCCCCAGGTGATTTTGGGGTCCCCCCAGGTGTTTTTGGGGTCCCCCCAGGTGTTTTTGGGGTCTCCCCCAGGTGTTTTTGGGGTCCCCCAGGTATTTTTGGGGTCCCACCCCCTCCCAAGGTATTTTGGGGTCCCCCCAGCTGTTTTTGGGGTCCCCCCAGCTGTTTTTGGGGTCCCACCCCCTCCCAAGGTATTTTTGGGGTCCCCTCAGGTATTTTTGGGGTCCCCCCAGGTGTTTTTGGGGTTCCCTCAGGTATTTTTGGGGTCTCCCCAGGTATTTTTGGGGTCCCACCCCCCCCTCAGATATTTTTTGGGTCCCCTCAGGTATTTTTGGGGTCCCCCCAGCTGTTTTTGGGGTCCCACCCCCTCACAAGGCATTTTTGGGTTCCCCTCAGGTATTTTTGGGTTCCCCTCAGGTATTTTTGGGGTCCCCCCAGGTATTTTTGGGGTCCCCTCAGGTATTTTTGGGTTCCCCTCAGGTATTTTTGGGGTCCCCACAGGTATTTTTGGGGTCCCCCCGGGTATTTTTGGGGTCCCCCCAGGTATTTTTGGGTTCCCCTCAGGTATTTTTGGGTTCCCCTCAGGTATTTTTGGGGTCCCCCCAGGTATTTTTGGGGTCCCCTCAGGTATTTTTGGGTTCCCCTCAGGTATTTTTGGGGTCCCCCCAGGTATTTTTGGGGTCCCCTCAGGTATTTTTGGGTTCCCCTCAGGTATTTTTGGGGTCCCCCCAGGTATTTTTGGGGTCCCCTCAGGTATTTTTGGGTTCCCCTCAGGTATTTTTGGGGTCCCCACAGGTATTTTTGGGGTCCCCCCGGGTATTTCTGCAGCCCCCCCCAGGTATTTTTGGGGTCCCCCCAGGTATTTTTGGGGTCCCCCCGGGTGTTTTTGGGGTCCCCCCCAGGTGTTTTTGGGGTCCCCCCAGGTGTTTTTGGGGTCCCCCCAGGTGTTTTTGGGGTCCCCCCAGGTATTTTTGGGGTCCCCTCAGGTGTTTTTGGGGTCCCCCCGGGTATTTTTGGGTTCCCCCCGGGTATTTTTGGGGTCCCCCCGGGTGTTTTTGGGGTCCCACCTGGGCGTTCTGGGAGATTTTCCGGGTTTTCTTCTTCTCGGCGCGCTCGTCCTCCCCCTCGCGCGCCTTCTCCACCGTCCACTCCCAGGCCAGCATGGCCTTGAGGGACTCCTTGATGGGCCAGCGGTAAATCTCCTTGTCCTGGGGGTCACGGGGGGTCAGGGGGCACCCCAAAATCTCGGGGGGCTTGGGGGGTCAGGGGGGACCCCAAAATCCCCCCGATTTTGGGGGGTCTGTGGGGAGGAGGAGGGGAGGGGCTGGGGGCTCCCGGTGTGGCCTTGAGGGACTCCTTGGGGGCCACCAGGAG